CATGTCGTCTTTCACATAGCGTACAAAAACAGCAAGCTGGCTTAGATCAGAAACGTCCTGTGGTTTCGTCGAGTTGAAGGCTGAATTTTGCAGGGCTTGAAATCAGATCCGCGACTACTTGAGCCAAGATGTCTTTACTCATGTCTTCTATTCTGTCACTGACGGTGTCATTTGAAAGGGGAATTTGAGATAATTTACCTTCGGGCCGCTGTTCCGAGTATCAGATTCGCCATCTTTAATGCAGCTGGTTTCACAAGTGTTTCACCAATGGTGTGTGGCTTGCCCTGCTTTGCGATCAGGTAAGCAACTTCGTACGATGCTGTCAGGATCGGTTTGTTAACAGGTACAAATCCAAGAGCAGGCAGAGTGGCCCTTTCATCGAATCTGGCTCTCTTCACCCTGAATTCAGCAAGTGTTGTGTTCTTGTATTCCCCGTCTCCATGCAGCTTCAAGAAGTGTTCCTTTAGTTTTGCCGGTGCAAGACTAGAGTTGCTCAACTTGGCGTTGCAAATCATGCAGATAGGACGCTCACTCCCATCACGTTCCGTGATACATGAGAATCCATGTTGTACATATTCGTCCGACCACTTTCTTCTTTTGCCCGACATAGTATGGATAAATATTAAAGAAATCACACGACGTACGACAACAACAGTCACACGTTGACTACTGAGTACGCACTAAATTCCCCGCAGCGCTGATTGGCCAAGCAGTGTAGCATGATCATCTGCAGCCAGTGATGGCCAAGCGGGCCGTGTGTGTCATCACAAATTTACACAATAATTCAAGTGTGTCCGGACCTCCGTGGCGGGGGCTCTGCCGAACCCCTGAGATCGACTCACCGAACCCCTGGGGTTCGATCGAACCCAGGTTAAGAACCACTGCCCATGGGTGATGGGGCAGTTGTGGACAGAGTGGAGAGTTTCCCCTCCACATTGGAGGAGGTGGGGGTGGGTGGTGGTGAGGGTGGTGGTGGTGACAGCGGTGGAGGTGGTGGTTCTGGTGACGGTGGTGGTGACAGTGGTGGGAAGAAGAAGTCACCCCTGTGAGTAGCTGGCTGAGGTGCCATCCGTTGAGGAAGTACTGAAGGCGATCTGGAGTCTGAGACCAGGAAAGGCACCGGGTAGAGATGATCTCCCAAGCGAATTGCTGAGGGAGGGTGGCGTTTGTGCACAGACTGCCCTACATGACATCATAACAACCTGAAGCTTGCCACTAAGAGGGTGGGGGCCTTACCATCAGCCCCACCAAAACTAAGCACCTGCCTGGGTATTTTGTAGCATCGGACACTCCACCCCCACAACTCCCAATCGGTGATGGGGCAGTTGTGGAGAGAGTGGAGAGTTTCCCATATCTGGGGAGTGTGCTTATGACCGGCTCCGGTTTGACAGCAGAGGTCTCACTCCGAATCAGTCGAGCGGCAATATCTTTTCATCGGTTGCGTAACGCTGTGTGGAAGCTACCTGGTCTGTCGCTCCGCACTAAGCTTCGGGTCTTCTCAGCCACGGTCATTCCCTCCCTTCTCTACGCTTGCGAAACGTGGGCCCCTCTAATGGAACATCTTCGCCAGTTAGAAACATTTAAGCTGGCCTGCCAACGATCCATCCCGGGTTTAACCAGGCTGGATTGTGTGAGGAACTCACAAATCCTTGAAAGATCTGGGCAAGGTCCCATAAGTGAGCTCCTCCTGAGTGGGTGAGTGAGTGAGTGGGCGAGTGAGTGAGTAGGTGAGTGAGTGGGTGAGTGAGTGAGTGAGTGGGCGAGTGAATGGGTGGGTGAGTTATTTAATGGGTGAGTGAGTGAGTGGGTGTATGAGTGAGTGGGTGAGTGAATTAATTAATGGGTTAGTGAGTTATTGAATGGGTGAGTGGGTGAATGGGTGAGTGAGTGAATGGCTGGGAAAGTGAGTGAATGGGTGAGTGAGTGGGTGAGTGAGTTAATGGGTGAATGGGTTAGTGAGTTATTTAATGGGTGAGTGAGTGAATGGGTGAGTGAGTGGGTGAATGAGTGAGTGGGTGAGTGAATTAATTAATGGGTTAGTGAGTTATTGAATGGGTGAGTGAGTGAATGGCTGAGTGAGTGAGTGGGTGAGTGGGTGGATGAGTGGGTGAGTGAGTGGGTGGGTGAGTGGGTGAGTGAGTGGGTGAGTGAGTGAGTGAGTGGGTGGGTGGGTGAGTGAGTGAATGGGTGAGTGAGTTATGGAATGGGTGAGTGAGTTATGGAATGGGTGAGTGAGTGAATGGCTGAGTGAGTGAGTGGGTGAGTGAGTGGGTGGGTGAGTGGGTGAGTGAGTGAGTGAGTGGGTGGGTGGGTGAGTGAGTGAATGAGTGAGTGCGTGAGTGAGTGAATGGGTGAGTGAGTGAATGGGTGAGTGAGTGAATGGCTCAATGAGTGGGTGAATGGGTGAGTGAGTGGGTGGAGTGAGTGGATGAGTGAGTGAGTGGGTGGGTGAGTGAGTGAGTGGGTGGAGTAAGTGGGTGGGTGAGTGAGTGAGTGGGTGAGTGGGTGAGTGGGTGAGTGAGTGAGTGAGTGGGTGGAGTGAGTGGGTGAGTGAGTGGGTGGAGTAAGTGGGTGGGTGGGTGAGTGAGTGATTGAGTGATTTGGTGGGTGAGTGAGTGAGTGAGTGGGTGAGTGAGTGAGTGGGTGAGTGAGTGGGTGAGGTGGGTGGGTGAGTGGGTGGGTGGGTGAGTGAGTGAGTGGGTGGGTGAGGGGGTGGGTGAGGTGGGTGAGTGGGTGGGTGGGTGAGGGGGTGGGTGAGTGAATGGGTGAGTGAGTGAATGGGTGAGTGAGTGAATGGCTCAGTGAGTGGGTGAATGGGTGAGTGAGTGGGTGGAGTGAGTGGGTGAGTGAGTGAGTGGGTGGGTGAGTGAGTGAGTGGGTGGAGTAAGTGGGTGGGTGAGTGAGTGAGTGGGTGAGTGGGTGAGTGAGTGAGTGAGTGGGTGGAGTGAGTGGGTGAGTGAGTGGGTGGAGTAAGTGGGTGGGTGGGTGAGTGAGTGATTGAGTGATTTGGTGGGTGAGTGAGTGGGTGAGTGTGAAAGATCTGAGCTCCTCCGGCAGGCAAGGCTGCGTTGGCTGGGCCACGTCGCCCGCACGCCTCAACAGCTTTTGTTCGGCCGGATAGAGGGGGCTAAACGGGCACGGCACGGGCTGGAGAAGAGATGGAGTGGTGCACTCACCTGTACACACTCACCTGTACACACACCTGTACACACACTCACCTGTACACACACTCACCTGTACACACATTCACCTGTACACTCACTCACCTGTACACACACTCACCTATACACACACTCACCTGTACACTCACTCACCTGTACACACATTCACCTGTACACTCACTCAACTGTACACTCACTCAACTCTACACTCACTCAACTGTTCACTCACTCAACTGTACACTCACCTGTACACTCACTCACCTGTACACTCACCTGTACACTCACTCACCTGTACACTCACCTGTACACTCACTCACCTGTACACACTCACCTGTACACTCACCTGTACACACACCTGTACACACACTCACCTGTACACACACTCACCTGTACACTCACCTGTACACACTCACTTGTACACTCACTCACCTGTACACTCACCTGTAGACTCACACACTCACCTGTACACTCACCTGTACACTCACCTGTACACTCACTCACCTGTACACTCACTCACCTGTACACACACTCACCTATACACACACTCACCTGTACACACACTCACCTGTACACTCACTCACCTGTACACACACTCACCTGTACACACTCACCTCTACACACTCATCTCTACACACACCTGTACACTCACTCACCTGTACACACACTCACCTGTACACACATTCACCTGTACACTCACTCAACTGTACACTCACTCAACTGTACACACACTCACCTGTACACTCTCACCTGTACACTCACCTGTAGACTCACACACTCACCTGTACACTCACCTGTACACTCACCTGTACACATACTCACCTGTACACACACTCACCTATACACACACTCACCTATACACTCACTCACCTGTACACACACTCACCTGTACACTCGCTCACCTGTACACACACCTGTACACTCACCTGTACACTCACCTGTACACTCACTCACCTGTACACTCACCTGTACACACACCTGTACACTCACCTGTACACTCGCTCACCTGTACGCTCACCTGTACACTCACTCACTCACCTGTACACTCACCTGTACACTCACCTGTACACTCACTCACCTGTACACTCACTCACTCACCTGTACACTCGCTCACCTGTACGCTCACCTGTACACACACTCACCTGCACACACACCTGTACACTCACTCACCTGTACACACACCTGTACACACTCACCTGTACACTCACCTGTACACTCACTCACCTGTACACACACCTGTACACTCACCTGTACACACACCTGTACACTCACCTGTACACTCGCTCACCTGTACACACTCACCTGTACACGCACACCTGTACACACACCTGTACACACTCACCTGTACACACACCTGTACACTCACTCACCTGTACACTCACTCACCTGTACACACACTCACCTGTACACACACCTGTACACTCACTCACCTGTACACTCACCTGTACACTCACCTGTACACTCACCTGTACACTCACCTGTACACTCACTCACTCACCTGTACACTCACTCACCTGTACACACACCTGTACACACACTCACCTGTACACTCACCTGTACACTCACCTGTACACTCACTCACTCACCTGTACACTCACTCACCTGTACACACTCACCTGTACACACACCTGTACACACACTCACCTGTACACTCACTCACCTGTACACACACCTGTACACTCACTCACCTGTACACTCACCTGTACACTCACCTGTACACACACCTGTACACACACTCACCTGTACACACACTCACCTGTACACACACACACCTGTAGACTCTCACTGCACTTGCCCCCCCCCCGATCACGAGGCTACACGGGGCACCTTTGTCTGTGGCAGCTCTGGAGAAGGTGGCGACGCTTTCCGTGGTGAAGTTCAACAACCCGGAGGGCGCCGGGCAGGGCGACGAGGACGCGGTGCAGTCCAGAGGGGAGCTTACGGGACCCACGGTGACTACACTCACCTGTACACTCACCTGTACACTCACCTGTACACTCACCTGTACACTCACCTGTACACTCACCTGTACACTCACTCACCTGTACACTCACCTGTACACTCACTCACCTGGACACTCACCTGTACACTCACCTGTACACTCACTCACCTGTACACTCACTCACCTGTACACTCACTCACCTGTACACTCACCTGTACACTCACCTGTACACTCACTCACCTGTACACTCACTCACTCACCTGTACACTCACTCACTCACCTGTACACTCACTCACTCACCTGTACACTCACTCACTCACCTGTACACTCACTCACTCACCTGGACACTCACCTGGACACTCACCTGTACACTCACTCACCTGTACACTCACTCACCTGGACACTCACCTGGACATTCACTCACTCACCTGTACACTCACTCACCTGTACACTCACCTGTACACTCACCTGTACACTCACTCACCTGTACACTCACCTGTACACTCACTCACCTGTACACACACTCACCTGTACACTCACCTGTACACTCACTCACCTGTACACTCACTCACCTGTACACTCACCTGTACACTCACCTGTACACTCACCTGTACACTCACTCACCTGTACACTCACCTGTACACTCACCTGTACACTCACTCACCTGTACACTCACCTGTACACTCACCTGTACACTCACTCACCTGTACACTCACCTGTACACTCACTCACCTGTACACTCACCTGTACACTCACCTGTACACTCACCTGTACACTCACTCACCTGTACACTCACCTGTACACTCACTCACCTGTACACTCACCTGTACACTCACTCACCTGTACACTCACTCACCTGTACACTCACCTGTACACTCACCTGTACACTCACTCACCTGTACACTCACCTGTACACTCACTCACTCACCTGTACACTCACCTGTACACTCACCTGTACACTCAGCTCTACACTCACTCACCTGTACACTCACTCACCTGTACACTCACCTGTACACTCACCTGTACACTCACTCACCTGTACACTCACTCACCTGTACACTCACCTGGACACTCACCTGTACACTCACTCACCTGTACACTCACTCACCTGTACACTCACCTGTACACTCACCTGTACACTCACCTGTACACTCACTCACCTGTACACTCACCTGTACACTCACCTGTACACTCACTCACCTGTACACTCACCTGTACACTCACCTGTACACTCACTCACCTGTACACTCACCTGTACACTCACTCACCTGTACACTCACCTGTACACTCACCTGTACACTCACCTGTACACTCACTCACCTGTACACTCACCTGTACACTCACTCACCTGTACACTCACCTGTACACTCACTCACCTGTACACTCACTCACCTGTACACTCACCTGTACACTCACCTGTACACTCACCTGTACACTCACTCACCTGTACACTCACCTGTACACTCACTCACTCACCTGTACACTCACCTGTACACTCACCTGTACACTCAGCTCTACACTCACTCACCTGTACACTCACTCACCTGTACACTCACCTGTACACTCACCTGTACACTCACTCACCTGTACACTCACCTGTACACTCACTCACTCACCTGTACACTCACCTGTACACTCACCTGTACACTCACCTGTACACTCACTCACCTGTACACTCACCTGTACACTCACTCACCTGTACACTCACTCACCTGTACACTCACCTGTACACTCACTCACCTATACACTCACTCACCTGTACACTCACCTGTACACTCACCTGTACACTCACTCACCTGTACACTCACTCACCTGTACACTCACCTGTACACTCAGCTCTACACTCACTCACCTGTACACTCACCTGTACACTCACCTGTAGACTCACTCACCTGTACACTCACCTGTACACTCACTCACCTGTAGACTCACTCACCTGTACACTCACCTGTACACTCACCTGTACACTCACCTGTAGACTCACTCACCTGTACACTCAGCTCTACACTCACTCACCTGTACACTCACCTGTACACTCAGCTCTACACTCACTCACCTGTACACTCACCTGTACACTCACCTGTACACTCACTCACCTGTACACTCACCTGTACACTCACCTGTACACTCAGCTCTACACTCACTCACCTGTACACTCACCTGTATACTCAGCTCTACACTCACTCACCTGTACACTCACCTGTACACTCACTCACCTGTACACTCACCTGTACACTCACCTGTACACACACCTGTACACTCACTCACCTGTACACACACCTGTTCACTCACTCACCTGTACACTCACCTGTACACTCACCTGTACACTCACCTGTACACACACCTGTACACACACTCACCTGTACACACACTCACCTGTACACACACCTGTACACACTCACTTGTACACTCACTCACCTGTACACTCACCTGTAGACTCACACACTCACCTGTACACTCACTCACCTGTACACTCACCTGTACACTCACTCACCTGTACACTCACTCACCTGTACACACACTCACCTATACACACACTCACCTGTACACTCACCTGTACACACACCTGTACACTCAATCACCTGTACACTCACCTGTACACTCACCTGTACACTCACCTGTACACTCACTCACCTGTACACTCACTCACTCACCTGTACACTCACCTGTACACTCACTCACCTGTAAACTCACCTGTACACTCACCTGTACACTCACCTGTACACTCACTCACCTGTACACTCACTCACTTGTACACTCACTTGTACACTCACTTGTACACTCACCTGTACACTCACCTGTACACTCACTCACCTGTAGACTCACCTGTACACTCACCTGTACACACACCTGTACACTCAATCACCTGTACACTCACCTGTACACTCACCTGTACACTCACTCACCTGTACACTCACTCACTCACCTGTACACTCACCTGTACACTCACTCACCTGTAAACTCACCTGTACACTCACCTGTACACTCACCTGTACACTCACTCACCTGTACACTCACTCACTTGTACACTCACCTGTACACTCACCTGTACACTCACTCACCTGTACACTCACCTGTACACTCACCTGTACACTCACTCACCTGTACACTCACCTGTACACTCACTCACTTGTACACTCACCTGTACACTCACTCACCTGTACACTCACTCACCTGTAGACTCACTCACCTGTACACTCACCTGTACACTCACTCACTTCTACTCACCTGTACACTCACTCAGTCATCTGTACACTAACCCACTCACCTGTACACTCACTCAGTCACCTGTACGTGGAGGTGATGGTCACGTGGAGGTGGTGATGGTCACGTGGTGGTGATGGTCACGTGGTGGTGGTGATGGTCACGTGGTGATGGTAATGTGGTGATGGTCACGTGGTGGTGATGGTAACGTGGTGGTGATGGTCACGTGGTGATGGTCACGTGGAGGTGGTGATGGTCACGTGGTGGTGATGGTCACGTGGTGGTGATGGTAATGTGGTGGTGGTGGTGGTGGTGGTCACGTGGTGGTGATGGTAACGTGGTGGTGATGGTCACGTGGCGGTGATGGTAACGTGATGGTCACGTGGTGGTGATGGTGATGGTCACGTGGTGGTGGTGATGGTCACGTGGTGGTGGTGATGGTCACGTGGTGATGGTCACGTGGAGGTGGTGATGTGGTGATGGTAACGTGGTGGTGATGGTAACGTGGTGGTGATGGTAACGTGGTGGTGATGGTCACGTGGCAGTGATGGTAACGTGATGGTCACGTGGTGGTGATGGTCACGTGGTGGTGGTGATGGTCACGTGGTGGTGGTGATGGTCACGTGGTTTCCATGGTAACTGGTAACGTGGTTTCCATGGTAACTGGTAACGTGGTTTCCATGGTGACGTGGTGACGGTGTAGGTGGAGCGGCGGTGTCCACGGTGTGGTGGCGAGTCCATGGCGTACCACACCCGTCAGACACGCTCAGCTGACGAGGGACAGACCGTCTTCTACACCTGCGTCAAGTGCCGGTCAGCAGCAGCATCAGCAGCAGTATCATCAGCATCATCATCATCAGTATCAGCAGCATCATCAGCAGCATCATCATCAGTATCAGCAGCATCATCATCATCAGTATCAGCAGCATCAGTATCAGCAGCATCATCATCATCAGTATCAGCAGCAGCATCAGCAGCAGTATCATCATCAGTATCAGCAGCATCATCATCATCAGTATCAGCAGCATCATCAGCAGCATCATCATCAGTATCAGCAGCATCATCAGCATTAGCAGCATCATCAGTATCAGCAGCAGCATCATCATCAGTATCAGCAGCATCATCAGCAGCATCATCATCAGTATCAGCAGCATCATCGGCAGCATCATCAATATCATCAGCAGCATCATCATCAGTATCAGCAGCATCATCGGCAGCATCATCAATATCATCAGCAGCATCATCATCAGTATCAGCAGCATCATCGGCAGCATCATCAATATCATCAGCAGCATCATCATCATATCAGCAGCATCATCAGCAGCATGATCATCAGTATCAGCAGCAGCAGCATCAGTATCAGCAGCATCATCAGTATCAGCAGCATCATCAGTATCAGCAGCATCATCAATATCAGCAGCATCATCATCAGTATCAGCAGCAGCATCATCAGTATCAGCAGCATCATCAGCAGCATCTTCACTATCATGATGAGCAGCAGAATCATCACTGATCATCAGCATCATCAGCAGCATCAGCAGCAGTATCATCACTATCATCATGAGCAGCAGAATCATCAGCATCATCATCAGCAGCATCAGCATCATCACTATCATCATCAGCAGCAGTATCATCACTATCATCATGAGCAGCAGAATCATCAGCATCATCACTATGATCATCAGCATCATCATCAGCAGCATCATCGTTCTGTACTAACCAATGTGAATGTCTTCACAGGTTTCAAGAAAAGGAAGATTCCTAGAGAATCAGCAGCATCATCACTGTCATCAGCACTATCAGCAGCAGCAGTATCATCACTACCATCACCATCAACATCATCAGTAGCATCATCATCACCAATACATCATCAGCAACACGATCATCATCAGCATTATTACCAGTATCATCAGCAACACTATCATCACCAGCGTAGTGGTGGTGGTGATGGTGGTGATGGTGGTGGTGAGGGTGGCTCTGTAACTCTCCGTTATGGCAGTCAGTGTCGTTTGTGTTCATCCAATAAAATGACGGTGGTGATGATGGTGATGATGGTGATGATGGTGGTGATGGTGGTGATGATGGTGGTGGTGATGGTGGTGGTGATGATGATGGTGGTGATGATGATGGTGGTGGTGATGATGATGGTGATGATGATGGTGATGGTGATGATGATGGTGGTGATGATGATGGTGGTGATGATGGTGGTGGTGATGATGGTGGTGATGATGGTGGTGATGATGATGATGATGGTGGTGATGATGGTGGTAGTGGTGATGATGGTAGTGGTGATGATGGTGATGGTAGTGGTAATGGTAGTGGTGATGGTGGTGGTTGTGGGGTGCGACAGGGATGTCCTCTGGCTCCCACATTATTTAACATCCATTTCGACCACGCAGTTCGTGAAGCCTTCGATGGCTGTACCGAAGGAATTCCCATCTGGTACAGATACAACGGGAGGCTGATCGATGCCCGGGTGCGGTCAAGGGATGGCTCCCTATTGCTCAACCACGTGATGTATGCCGATGATCTGGTAATAGCTGCTCACTCGGAGGAGGAGTTGGAGACGCTGCTGCTGAGACTGGAGCGTGCCACTAAGAGGTGGGGCCTTACCATCAGCCCCACCAAAACTAAGCACCTGCCTGGGTATTTTGTACCATCGGACACTCCACCCCCACAACTCCCAATCGGTGATGGGGCAGTTGTGGAGAGAGTGGAGAGTTTCCCATACCTGGGCAGTGTTGCTCATGACCGGCTCCGGTTTTTACAGCGGTGGTCTCGCTCCGAATCAGTCGAGCGGCAATATCTTTTCAACGGTTGCGTAACGCTGTGTGGAAGCTACCTGGGTCTGTCGCTCCGCATGAAGCTTCGGGTCTTCTCGGCCACGGTCATTCCCTCCCTTCTCTCTAACGTCGCCGGTTAGAAACATTCAGGCTGGCCCTGCCTGCCTACGATCCATCCTGGGTTTAACCTGCGAGGCTGGGGTCGTGTGAGGAGCCTCACAACTCCACTCCCCACGAATCCCGATTGGCGACGGGCCACTTGTGGTCGAGACTGGAGACCTTCCCACGCCTGTGCAGTGACAGGGTGCTCACCTGCTGGCCATGGAGGGGAGGGGGATGCCGAGCTTCATCTGCATCATGGAACGGTGCTCATAGAAGCCACCAGGAGGCTGGGCTCGACCCGGGTCAAAGGTCAAGGAGGGAGGGGGGGGGCATCGATCTGGGAGCAACCAGGAACCAGGGGGAGGAGTTACAGGCGTTGTGGTGGTGGGAGTGGTCAGGAGTGTGGCCAGGGGCGTGGCCAAGGGCGTGGTCAGGCTGGGTGGATAAAAGGGAGAGGTAAACGTGGGGGTTCGGGGCTGTCGTGGGGGTTTCAGGGGTCCTACTCCGTCGTCGCCTCTTCATCTTCGTCGGCTCTTCGCGACATCGTCAGTCCGCTAGACATCCACGACGGGGAGGTTGTTTTCTTGGGTTCGATCGCGTAAGTGTGTGAATGTTGTGTCGTTGAAACCCACCACCACCCACCCCACCCACTCGCCCATCCACTCACCCATCTACCCAGTTACTCACCCACCCACCCACTCACTGACCCACCCACTCACCTACCCAGTCACTCACCCACCCACTCACTCACCCACCAACCCACTCACTCTCACCCAACCACCTACCCACTCATTCATCCACTCACTCACCTACCCACCCACTCACTCACCTATCCAGTCACTCACCCACTCACCTACCCAGTCACTCACCCACCCACTCACTCACCCACCAACCCACTCACTCTCACCCAACCACCTACCCACTCATTCATCCACTCACTCACCTACCCACCCACTCACTCACCTATCCAGTCACTCACCCACTCACCTACCCAGTCACTCACCCACTCACCTACCCAGTCACTCACCCACTCACCTACCCAGTCACTCACCTACCCACTCACTCACCTACCCAGTCACTCACCCACTCACCTACCCAGTCACTCACCCACTCACCTACCCACTCACTCACTCACCCACTCACCTACCCAGTCACTCACCCACTCACCTACCCAGTCACTCACCCACTCACCTACCCAGTCACTCACCCACTCACCTACCCAGTCACTCACCCACCAACCCACTCCCTCTCACCCAAACCACCTACCCACTCATTCCTGCACTCACCCACTCGTCCAACCACACCTCACCGACTCAACGACACGCGTGCCACGATGCAAGTCCTCAACTGCGCGACTTTCCATTCTCACCGCTGTAATCATCGCCGCCACCACGACCAAAATCGTCATCGATCACCGCCGAAATCATCGCCACCACCGACCCCTGCACCGACCGCCAAGGCCGGGAGAAGCGTTCGCTTGGAGCAGCAGCATCATCAGCATCATCAGCACCGCCATCGTCATCGTCGGTTTGACACGTAGCAGCCTTTCCCGACCAATATCACCCGCAGAGGTTTTGTTTGGGGTGAGACCACGTGAATGTGTGAATGCTGCGTCGTTTAAAACCCGCCACCACCATCGCCATCGCCACCATCGCCATCACCTCCTCCACCACCTCCACCACCGCCACCACTGCCACCACCACTACCTCCACCACCACCACCGCCACCACCACCGCCACTGCCACCTCCACCGCCACCACCATCGCCACCACCACCACCACCTCCACCACCTCCACCATCACCACCATCACCACCACCACTGCCACCACTGCCACCGCCACAACCACCACCACCGCCACCACCATCGCCATCACCTCCACCACCTCCACCATCGCCGCCACCACCACTGCCACCACCATCACCGCCACCACCGCCACCATCACCACCACTGCCACCACCACCTCCACTGCCACCACCACCACCACTGCCACCGCCACCACCTCCACCGCCACCACCATCGCCATCACCACCACCTCCACCATCACCACCACCTCCTCCACCACCACCACCACCCGACACAGCCAACTAGTGAGGGGCGTCACGTGAACAGAACGTGACCAATTCGTCACCAAGAGTGCTGTGGCTCTCCAACACACCGCTGTGCTGTACTAGTATACTACACTATACACTACACACTTGCTGTACTAGTATACTACACTATACACTACACACTTGCTGTACTAGTATACTACACTATACACTACACTATACACTAGTGCTGTACTAGTATACTACACTATACACTACACTATAAACTACACACTAGTGCTGTACTAGTATACTACACTATACACTACACTATAAACTACACACTAGTGCTGTACTAGTATACTACACTATACACTACACTATACACTACACACTAGTGCTGTACTAGTATACTACACTACTACACTACACTATATACTACACTACACTAGTGCTGTACTAGTATACTACACTACACACTACACTAGTGCTGTACTAGTATACTACACTACTACACTATATACTACACTACACACTACACTATACACTAGTGCTGTACTAGTATACTACACTACACTATACACTACACTATACACTAGTGCTGTACTAGTATACTACACTATACACTACACCATACACTAGTGCTGTACTAGTATACTACACTATACACTAGTGCTGTACTAGTATACTACACTATACACTAGTGCTGTACTAGTATACTACACTACTACACTACACTATATACTACACTACACTAGTGCTGTACTAGTATACTACACTACACACTACACTAGTGCTGTACTAGTATACTACACTACACACTACACTAGTGCTGTACTAGTATACTACACTACTACACTATATACTACACTACACACTACACTATACACTAGTGCTGTACTAGTATACTACACTACACTATACACTAGTGCTGTACTAGTATACTACACTATACACTACACCATACACTAGTGCTGTACTAGTATACTACACTATACACTACACTATACACTAGTGCTGTACTAGTATACTACACTATACACTACACCATACACTAGTGCTGTACTAGTATACTACACTATACACTACACCATACACTAGTGCTGTACTAGTATACTACACTATACACTACACCATACACTAGTGCTGTACTAGTATACTACACTATACACTACACTAGTGCTGTACTAGTATACTACACTATACACTACACTAGTGCTGTACTAGTATACTACACAGTACACTATACACTACACTATACACTAGTGCTGTACTAGTACACTACACTATACACTACACTATACACTACACTATACACTAGTGCTGTACTAGTATACTACACTATACACTACACTAGTGCTGTACTAGTATACTACACTACACAGTACACTATACACTACACTATACACTAGTGCTGTACTAGTATACTACACAGTACACTATACACTACCCTATATACTACACTACACAGTACACTACACTACACACTTGCTGTACTAGCATACTACACTACACAGTACACTATACATTACACTATACACTACACACTACACTACTACACTATACACTAGTGCTGTACTAGTATACTACACTACACACTACACTACTGCTGTACTAGTATACTACACTATACACTACACTATACACTAGTGCTGTACTAGTATACTACACTATACACTACACTATACACTACACTACACACTAGTGCTGTACTAGTATACTACACTACTACACTATATACTACACTACACACTACACTAGTGCTGTACTAGTATACTACACTATATACTACACTACACTATACACTAGTGCTGTACTAGTATACTACACCACACTATACACTACACACTAGTGCTGTACTAGTATACTACACTATATGCTACACTACACACTACACTAGTGCTGTACTAGTATACTACACTACACTATATACTACACACTAGTGCTGTACTAGTATACTACACTACTACACTACAACATACACTACACTATATACTACACTACACACTAGTGCTGTACTAGTATACTACGCTATACACTATACTACACTATATACTACACTATACACTACACTATACACTACACTATACACTACACCACACACTAGTGCTGTACTAGTATACTACACTACACTAT